CTGGTGCTGGCTTTTTTTTTTTTTCTTTCTTTTTTTCCCCACAGGGTTGCAGACCAGGTTTTAACCAGTTAATATAAATGAGCTAACTTAAGGACACTGGAGAACAAGGTAGAAGCTTTTTATTGTTCCTTATTCTCTTTTAGGTGAGGCAGAGCACTGCTGGAAACAGAAATACCAGCCTACAGCACCCACTGAGTGCTGCACGGGGATGCGACATTTCCTGCACTGCCCTTAAATCCTAGGGTGGCATTTAGCTAATCCTGGCCCCTCCATTTTGCTGCCGGTCTTTGTGCCCTCTGTGCTGCTCTGATAGAGACAGACGACCCTGCATTTACTGTAACCATGTTGCTTAAGTACCCAATGACAGCTTCCTCTTAAGGGAAACCATGATACTGCCCAAATTTAACACCCCAAAGCTAACAGTACTGTGCCCATCTCAGCGCAGGAAGCACTGGCTGTAAAATTTGGGGTGTGTCAGAGATGCTGCTCACACATGGCTTTTAAAAATCCATTTTCAGCTGCGAGCAGCACCACCTTATGCTCCTAGTGACTGGTGTAAGCATGACTCAGTTCTGACTCACGTAGCATCATGGTGAGTCGTACCCACCCACTCACCCACCCACCGTGCAAGAAGCTGTGTCCACCCGCTCCCTGTCCCATTGAACCCTCCCAGTGCTGCCCACGGGCAGGAAAACAAACTCCAAACCTGAAATCTCAGCCTAAAAAGAAAGCTGCACTGGGGGTACTGGCCACAGTCAGAAGGGCTGCGCAGGGTCTTGGGGCAGGATGCTGCCATTGGCTCAGGAGGCCGGGAGAGGACAGTGGTACATAGAAAGGAGCAGTTTTATTTCCACTGCTGCTGGGGATGCTTGGATTTAACTACAGTAGAAAAGCAGGGAGGAAGGCAGAGATGGAGCACATTGGATGCACTGCAGCTGAAGCACACCTGGTGAACCAAGCTAAAAGCCAGTGGAAAGGAACGAGTCTTGCTGCAGTATCTGTCACTGTAGGAAACCTTGTGGAGTCTGTTTTTATGCTAAACTTCTTTAACTTTTATCATTTCAACCATGGAAAACACAGCATCAAATACGCTGGACAGTCTGTTTGGATCAGTGTAAAAAAGAATGACTGACTTCACCCACCCCGCCTCCTGCCCCAAATTCCCTATCAAATAAAAAAAGGTGGGAAAAAAAAGAAACCAAAGAAAAAAAAAGCACAGACATAAAAATTTTTTTTTTTTTAAAGTAATAATTATAATACATTAGAAAGAATCATGGAAGAAACGTTCCACACTGTAAACAAGAATAGCAATTAAAAAGAAAAGCAGATGGTAGCTGGGCTCCCAAAGTGCACGGCTGAGTGACCCTGACCCAGAGCCTGTCCCCAGCACCGGTCCCTGTAGCTCTTACTGCCTGCTGGCACCACAGCCACTCAAAGTGCTCAATTACAAACAAACAAACAAAAAAAAACCCACCACCCCACCCCCACAACATTGATTTTTTAAAAGTACATGGAGGACAGCAAGGTGAGAGCTGTGCCAGGGCTGTGAGGCCAAGGATGTAGGGGGAGCTGCTTTCCTGAGTTTGCTCATGGTAGGAGTGGCTTTTGCTTCGGGGCTGAAGCCATTGTAGAAGGCTGGGGCAGGGGTGCAAGTGGCTTGGGCCAGTTATTTGTCCTGCTATGCTGCCGCACTCACCCTTCTCCTTCCCTTCATATTCCAAGCAAAAGAGCTGAGGCTGGGCCATGCCCTGCCCAACCCTGCTGCCACAGACCCACCATGGCCATGTCTTCATGGGCAGCGAGAGGCAGAAGAGAAAGGATTGGTCATCTCCTAGTAGATTATGCTTTGATGTGCTGAGGTGAGAGCATCACTCCAAGAAAAGCAATGCATGTTGCTGGCTCCCAGCCAGCTCTGGCTACTTTGCCCCAGCAACTCTTCCCAAACCTGCCAGCTTTCAGGGGCTGCAGGTTGGCGAAGAGCATTGGTGGCACGGTGAGGAGCTTGGAGACCTTCCCAGCAAGAAGCACACTGGTGGGAACAGGGAGTCTGCCTGGTCCAAAGGTAACTGAAACCAGCTGGTGGCTTCCCCCAGACCTGGAGGTGACCGAGGACCTTGCTGCTTGCTCCTGTTAGGGCTTGGAGGGGAGGAACCCCACCCAAATTCTTGTTGAACACCGTGCACCAAACACCATTCAATGGGTACTGTGCATTTGACAGCTCTCCAAAATTAGAGCAAACCATCGTTTTAAATGTGAATACTGCAAAACATCCCAGCCACATGCTGGGTGAGGAGCCTGTGTGCACATGCAACATGATGTGCAAAGGCTGTGTGCCTGAAATGAGAGGAAAACGGTCAAAATGAGGGGAAAGAGGGCTCAGCTCTTGCACATGTAAGCCAAATGCTCAGACATGTTAGCAGGAGTCCTATATGTGCTTCAAGGAGAGACAGACCCCCCCCAAGCTACAGAAACCAAGCCAAGAGGTGACCACCAGCCCTCAGATGCTTCTTGTTGCTTCCCAGCAAGCTCCAGAGGCCAGTGGGAGGAGAGCAAAAGGCAATCAATAACTGTCCTGAAATACTGCACAGGTATTTTAACACACAAATAGGTTTAACTACTGCACGGTTACTGAAAAACATACTCTGAATTAAAGCCAATTTAAGCACCGTTGTCCTAGAAAGGACCCATGGTGTCTCAAAAAACAAATACTGAACATTCATACAGCACTTTTCCTCAAAGAGCAACTCTCGACTCCTCACAACACCCCTGCGAGGTAGCTAATATGGTTATCTCTGCTTTGCAGAAGGAGAGAGGACAAGCAAGGTTGGAGACTCAGCAGAAGATGGGGTCTCTGACAAAGCAGGGGTTGCAATAGAAGCTGAGGGTGCTGTGATCTGGCTGGCTACATACAAACAAAGATGGGGTGCTCCCTTTGATGCTCTCTCTGCACACAAGGAAAAAAAAAACAAACAAAAACAAAAAAACAAAACCCTGATAAATCCCACAAAGTAATTTAGTGGATGTTTTCTGCTGAGCTTCCAGATAGGCTTCAGATCAGGTTATGTTACTGAAGCAGCCCGTAAGATAAAAAAAAAAGTTTTCAAAGTCTCCTTAGAATTTAAAGGAGCTTTTGCCCAGGGTCCCCATTGAAGGGATGTGAATCTCACCTGCAGTCCCACCTAAGGTTGGCATCTACAGCCACCCCTTCTGGACAGCAGAGTCAAATACAGCACATCTAGACTAGTTTATTTCCTGCTGCTTCCACTGATCTTCCTTCCTGATGAAGTCCCTTCACCTATAGGGGTGAAGTAGATACTGGGAACAGCTGTTTGGACCAGCTCTTTCAGCAGGGCGAGCTGTCCCTGGGTCCCCTCCACACCTCCAGCCAACAGTTTGGGCTGTGCAGCAGCAACACCCTGGGATGGGGAGACGGACAGGCCACCAGGACTTGGTGCATGAAAGGCAAGTGGGCACCCATCACGTTATCTCCTCAGCAGTGGGCTGTGGTGACATTGATGCTCTACAGTATCATCTTCCAAACCTCTGTGCCCCAATTTCCTTCCTTGGTTGTTGATTTCTGGGTGGGCTAAACCAGAAGGGCTGAGATTAGGTTCTGGGCAATGTGCCTCCCTTCCCCAACTCCTATGCCAGTTCCACCCTGACACTTAACTTGCTCAAAGTAAAAGCAGGCTTCAGCTTGGGCACCGTGATTAGACACCATCGCACCTCCAGCAGCTTGCTAGTGAAAGCAGGAGGTTTCCCAAGGTAGCAGCCCCTTTTTCTGTTCAGCCAATGGAAAGGCAGCGAGCCCACTTGCCACCCTGGACCTGCGAGGGAAAGGCCAGCAGAAAAGCCACTCAGCCCAAGAGACCAGGCTCAACCTTCATCACTGTCCTTGTCACCTTGAGAACTTGGAAAGAATCACCCTGCTGGTGGTCCTCCACTGGGGTCACACCAAGGAGACTCCCCCCAGGGACTCACCAGCTGCTAAACCTCCCCTCTGGGACACCATCCACCACCGCAGCAGGAGCCGGGTACAGGCAGGCACTGCTCTGTGGAATTGCATAGAGTAGGCAGTGGGCTGCCTGTGCCCTGCTGGGATGCCATGGCCCTGCCTGAAAATGCTGCTGCCTACAACTGCGGGTCCAGGAAAAGAAATAAAGATCTATTGCTACAAAGGCCTTTGAAAGCAACACTGTTGGCTGCACTGATCGCGCATTTTAAAGAAAGCATTTCAGACTCCTATGCCTTGCGCCTGCTTTCCATGGCCATGGCTATCCACAGCAGGCAAGAGCAGAAGAAAACACGCAACACATTCATCAGCCCTGCCTCTCCCCCGACACGTGATGAGTCTCGGGGAGCTTCAAGGAACAAAAAATGAAAGCACTTTCCAATTTGTCCATAGGAAAGATCCAAACCCAATTTGCTGGTGCCTCCTCGTGCCAGTGGCCACTGCCCCATCTCCTCACCAGGTGCTCGTACCAAAGCACAACTTGACAGTCGATGGCTGCTGTGCTGTCACCCCAACACAGCCCTGCTGAAGGAGGCACTGGTCCCGAAAACAGGACGAGGGTGCTGCTCCAGCACCCACCTCCTCTCCCTCACCTCCCCCCATCCCCACTAAAATGTCACTGATTTGGGCAGCTTTGCCAGGGGAGGAGAGCCTGAAAGGAAACTGTTCTCTGAGCGAGATTTGGCAACCTGTGGCAGTAATTTTGGTTTGGGACTCAGGGGGGGTCGTGGGGCTTTCAGTGCGTTTAATGGTTTCTGGAGGCTTTTTTTGGCATCTACCTCCTCTGGGTCCAGTGCAAGAGGTGGTGCCATGGAGGTGGCAGGTAGGGGACATCCAGTGTCCAGCAGAGGCAACGCCACCTGCTTTCTGTTCGAGAAGTCCTGCTCCGTCGCATGGGCCAGGTGGAGGGGAGTGGTGGTTTTGATAATCGT